ATTAAATAAGAAATGGAAGAATAACATCCTAGACTTTTAGAGTAAACACTTGAAAGATAAAAATAGTTTTATTTCTTTACAGTACATTTATTTTAGTCTTGTCAGATCATTTAGCGAGAGAGGGGGGGGGGGGCATGCGGCCGGCCATGAGCCCAGTAATATCTTGTTTGAACCCAGGTAGTTAGCAACACCTTACTCGGACCCCGCAGAATTCTTTTCGAGCCCAGCAAAAACTTTCATTGCTAATTGACTTTAAAAAGGATTAATTCAAAAATCTGTAGAAAGTATATATTTATGGTTTATATAATTCATTTATTATTCATAAATATAATAATTATATATTTTCTACTACTTTTGAGGAATAGCATATGGTTTAAATGATAAATAATAAGTTGCAAAATATATTTATATGCAATATTTTAATTATCATCTATTCATCACTGCAAACATTCCATCTAAAGTATTTGTTAAATCTAGGAAGACAAAATTTTACAATGAAAAGAGTTTAAAAGCGTTGATAAGTATCTTAAAGCTCAGATGAGTATGTAACCTAATCCTCCGCATTTTCATTTTTGAAATTTTTCTATTTAAAGATAATTATCAATAAAAGTTTTTTTTTAGCAGTCTTATTGGTGAAATTCCGCTGGGTTCGGGCAGGGATCTGCTAACTACCTGGGTTGGAACAGGATGTTGCTGGGTTCGGGCAGGGATCTGCTAACTACCTGGGTTGGAAAAGGATATTGCTGGGTTCGGGCAGGGATCTGATAACTACGTACCTGGGTGGAACAGGATATTGCTGGGCTCATTGCTGTACGGCCCCCCCCTCTCAATTAACAATTTATCAAAATTCATCGAGGATTTTTTTCTTTGCAATTAGAATTAATACTTAAGGGCGTGGCATGGCAATGTAAAGATTTGATTATAAGACCTCAGTTAAAGAAGAATTGAAAATTTAAAAATTATTTTGATTACTTTTTTACATATGAATAATCATGAATTCTTTTTGATAGATTTTGAAAAAAATAGAAAACTATAGCTTATTAGTTTTCATAAGAGATAACTACTTCAAATATACATAGATACAATTGGCTTTTAGGGTGCTTTCGGTCTATCTTCTATTTCAATTATTAATTGTGGCTCTATCTTTAAGCATTTCTCTTTGTACAGTATAAAACAATTACAAAAAAAGTTCGCGGATTAAATAATATTGTCCTGCGCATTTTAAAATTTTTACATAAATCAAAATCTTTTGGTCACGAATCTTTGTAATTTAGAGCATCCATAAACCTTCCCTGCGATCCTGTGAGGTCCCACACATTATTTGGGCCCGATAGGTTTAGTCGTTTTGACGTTTATTGTATACACACGGACAGACAGACACCCAAAAGACAGACACACAAGCAAAGTACAAATATATGTAGAGAAATATATGACTATTGGAGGATTTGATAGATAACTATGTGAGAGTAAACCTTCTCTTCTAGCAGATTCCAATATTTTCACAGAAAACAATAATTTTCTAGTGAAAGAGAAGAAGGAAGGGTTGAGAACTATAAATCAAGATCATTCTTCAATAGTCTTCAATAGTTATTCAAGGAGGGAGTGCATATAAAGTCTGCGTTTGTGGATACAAAGTGTCTGTTTGTGTAAATAAAGTTTGTGTTTGTGTATAAAAGTGTGTGTTTGTGTATAAAAAGTGTGTGTTTGTGCATATAAAGTCTCTGTTGTGTATAAAAACTGTGTGTCTACTGTCTAGGCATAAAAGGGGATGTTTGTTTATAAAAAGTGTGTGTTTGTGTTTAAAAAGTGTTTGTGTAAAAAAGTATTCTGTATAAAAGTGTGTTTGTGTATAAAAAGTGTGTGTTTGTGTATAAAAAGAGTGTGTTTGTGTATAAAAAGTGTGTGTTTGTGTATAAAAAGTGTGTGTTTGTGTATAAAAAGTGTGCGTTTGTGTATAAAAAGTGTGTGTTTATGTTGGTGTTATTTTGATTTATTATATCTGTACAAAGCCCTTGGACAGTCTTGGAGCCTTGTGACCTGATTCATAATGTAAAGGTTGGATATATATTGGACAATATATAACACTTGAGGAACAGGGTGCTTCGTGCCACTGTTTTGTTGATAATCTTAGAGTATTCTCGCTTATTTATCTGCCTCCCAATTTCGTATGCATTAAAAAATATCAATGTACAATTTTTCAGATTTCCCGGTTTTTATTTGAAAATTCTAGAAATTTTTTTTTTTCAAGCTCAGCCATAAATCTCCTTGGGGTCACGCCCTGTTAATTTTTGTGCCCGATTGGTTCAGCTGAATTGAGGTCTTCTTTTTTGGACAAAAAAGTGATATTTTTTTATTTGGCAGTTTTAGCTAGATATAAAGCTCTATAGACAGATTGTATAATATCTATCCGGCCCAATTTGTGTACAGTGAGAACCATAAAATTACAACTGTGGAATTAAAAGACGACATGTCAAAAATCTTTGAAAAATTTGTTTATCAAAAATAGTTATATGCAAATAAGTTGTTTCATTTTTTAGGAATTTTACAATTTCAATGTTTCTGAATTAAGTCTTTGAAGACGGATATATTTGGACGAGTATCTCCCTTGCCAAACAAAAAGCAAAAATCCGAAAAAGATGAAAGATTATTAAAAAATTATTTTTATTTCAAAAATTATAGCAAAGAAAACTTTATCAAAAAAAGTGCTCTTTAGTTTCACCAGATTAATATTAGTAAGTACATAAACAAATAAAGCTGTTACAATTACTCTTGTAAATACATAACTATGCTCTCAGGGTACTTCGTGCCTATCTTCTATCAACATTTTTAATTGTTGCTCAATTTTCCCTTGGGTCATATGGTGTCTCTGACGTTCTCTTCTATTATGCACTGCCCTAACTAAATCTTTTTTTTTGCATCCTAATTGATAAAAAATGATAATTTACCTCAGAACCATCTTTTAAAAAAATATTTTGAAAATTTTTTTTTCATTTTTTTAAATTTTTTCTTAACAATTTAGTTGTCTGAATAATTAAAATACATGACAACTTCAGTAAGATCAAAAACAACTATAACATTCTGACTGAGAAGATGGTTATACAGACTTCTAAAAAACTGGAGGGAAATATAGTTATTCACTACTATTGGCCTAAGTTCTGGTTAGTGAATTTACTCAGGAATATGCTGAGAATATTTCAAGATACTCCTGAGGAATTCTTGAGAAAATCTTGGGAATAGTTCCCCAGGAATTGGTTCTGAAGAACTTTTCGCTGGAAATTCCCAAGAATTTTCATAAAATTTGACGACATTTTCTCCGTTTTTTTCTGCAGAATTGGTATCAAGAAATTCCCTGGAATTGGTTACAAGAAATTTCTTTGATACAGTTATGAGAATTTCAGGTTACAGGAAATTCCTCACACCTGGTTCCTCGGAATGGGTTTCGAGAAATTCCTCGAAAAAGCTGTCGACATTTTCACTGGATTTTCCTGTGAAAGATTCCAGGAAATTTCTGCGGATTTTCCGCAAAATAATTACTTGGGGGCAGGTCCCACACAAAAATTGGGCCGATCGGTTCCCCAGTTTTGACTTTTATTTGATAGAACGGACAGACAGACAAACCGACAAGCAAAGTATGTTTATAGACTAAATAACTATTCTTTTTTATTTTTAGATTCATGTATTTATATATAATTAATTGATCTGCAAAATGTCCCCCGAAACATGACAACTTAGCAACACAATCTGAAACTTATCTTTGATCTTTGAATTTATTGGAAACATTCAGTCGTCAACCTTCTCCCAATTGCATCAAACAATTCAACTACAATATTCTAGTCCCATGGGATTTCCAAAAAGTGGCCTTTTTTGTTCGGAGATGCGAAATATTTTGTTCAGATTTCGACAATTTTGGTTTTATTTAATAAGATTGACATCTGAAGGAAGTTCTCAATATCTCCGATAATATCGAAAGCACTAAAAAGGCAGATCACATTTTAAAATCATAAATTTGCATTGTAAGAATAAATGCTGTATTTTTTTTTCGAAAATCAAATACGACCTTCAAATTGTCTTGCTAATGCGTAGGACACTTTGTAAAAAATGAAATTTAACTTTTATTCATATATATGTATTTTTTAACCCCATTTCATTTTGTTAAAATGCGCAATTGTATTTTTGAAAAATCCGAATACTTTTGATGAGTCAAACATGAAACACAGTGTCCATCAATAACCTAATGAAAATTTTCAAGACTTAATTTTAGGATTTTTTACTTAAATTAATGGATTAAAAACAGTTAAAGTTTAAAAGTAAACCTTTTCTTGGTTGATATGATTATTTAAGCCACACAAATTTCAATTTCAGTTCAAGCTGTATTGACGTTTATTATAGAAACAAACAGACAAACAAGAAAATATATAAAGATGTTAAATAATTATTTGAAAACCTTTGGAAATTCCAAAATTTGAACCAATTATACCTACTCAAAACTAAACTTAAAATTAAACAGTTGAGCAGAATCAAAATGTCGTCTTTGTAGAAAACTTCATGAAAAAAACAGTAAAAATCCAAAAGAAAGTCTTTAAAGAATGGGGCGCTACCCCACACTTCCCAAAGATTATTGAACAGAAAAACTTCAATCGGCTCAAACCGAAAATTTTCAAAATACATGATTTTTCTCTTATAATACATAATGCAAAGTAATTATGGACATTACATTCTTTTTAATAATCACAATAATTACGAGCAACCATTTTACCCCTCCCCCCCATAAAATAAAGTACCTTATGTGTGCATATGAAACAGTCCCTATAAGGAAAGTCCAGGAGAAATGGTTGAAAAATAGTTGTCAGAGAAGAGGGGTATTAGCATTAAAGGTGGAAAACATGGAAATTAAAGGTAAAAATTTAAGTTTTTCCTAATTTCTTCAAGACAACAACTTTTCTTTGGGTTGTTTTTTTTTTAAATTTTTTTGGTAAAACATTAAATCTAGAAAACACAATTTTATGTACTTGTTATATTGATTGTACTTCTTAAAAACATTTTAGAATCACATTTATATGAACGAAGAAGATCCTCTTCTATTTAAATGAAAGAGACTCAAAATAAGTACACTTGGAGAACAACAATATCCTTTTAAAAATGTGATTATGTGTCAACACTTGCTTGAAATCTAAAGAAACATATTGTGAGTAAACAGTAAAATATAGCTGTTTAAATGCATATATTCAGATGCTACTACTACTGCAACAGACCTTAAAAACATATTGAAAGTATACATAAAGATTTAAAATATCCCTTAAGGCTTGTGATTACTCTGCCACACTTGCAAGTAATCTAAAGAAACATATTGAAAGTAAACATGAATTGTGAGATATCCTTGTGACCAGTGTGACTACGCTGCTTCAACAAAAGTTAGTCTTAAAATACATATTAAATACAGACATGAAGGATTGACATTTTCTCTGTGACCAGTGTGAACATTCTGCCAGTAGTGTAAGTAATCTAAAGACGCATATGAAAAGTAAACAGAAAGGGTGGACATATCCCTGTAACAAGTGTGACTACACTGCAAATACAGCAAGCAGTCGAAAGACATGTGTTGAAACTTTGAAAGTAAACATGAAGCAGTAAAATATCCGTGTAATCAGTGTGAATATGCTGCCACTACAGCAGGTTGTCTAAAGAGGCACATTGTAGATATACATGAAGAAGGCAGCTATCCTTGTCTCCAGTGTGAATACTTTGCCACTAGAATTAAAAATCTTAAGAAGCATGTTTCAATTAAGCATGAAGGAGTGAGATACCCCTGTAACCAGTGCGAGTTCACTGCCACACGAGCAAATCATTTGAAAAGACATAGAATAATTTAACATAATGATTGAGTGGGCTTTGTAAATATTGCAATTTTTATACTTAGATCTAAAATGAGTTTTGAAGATGATCAGTGCAAATGCTAAGGATTTAAAAAAAGTTTTTATTTTATGGTTTAATATTAAGTTTCTAGAACAATATTTAACATGTTTCAGAGGGAATGACAGAGGAGAAAATGGAAGAAGAAAAAGTATTTATCAAGGAAGAAATATCTACTGAAGAAGATTCATCTACTGTATATATGAAGGAAGATGATGTTAAAGTGGAAATTACAGAAATACAAGGTAGCGTTTTAACTCTTAAAAATTTATGATTTTCTATAAATTTTAGATATCAAGTGGTATAACATGTATTCTATTAATCCAGAAAGAACGGAAGAGAATATAAAAGAGGAGAAAGAATTTATCAAGGAAGAAATCTCTACTGTTGAAGATACATGTACAGTTTATGTAAAGGATGAAAATGCAAAAGAGGAAAGCACAGAAGTTCAAGGTATCATTAACAGTCTCATCTATACTTATAAAAAAGTAATCTCTGTTTAATAATAACTTTTTGTTTAATAATAACTCATAATCACCTTGACCGATTTGCCTCAAATTTTGATTGGGGAACTTGGTAGAACCTCTTATGTTTCTCCCATACCAGTGTCCGCCAAATTCGTCCTGTGGGTTTAGAGGTTTGCGCTTTTTGCTTAATATTTCAAATTAATGAGGTTATGATTTTAAAAAAAAACTTTTTTCTAAAATCATGGATTTCTTCATTCGACTATGACATTGAGAAAGTGTTTTTCACAAACAATTTTAAGTCAACATTCAAACAAACTTTTTAAAATACCACCGTACTTAAAACTTCCCGCACGCGGGGTGATGGAAGTTGCAAAAAAATGGGTCTGGTTGGCTTAGCTGTTTTGACATTTATTATAGACAGACAAACTGAATTTTGTCAATAACTTAATTTTGGGATTTTTTACTTAAATTAATGGATTAAAAACAGTTAAAGTTTAAAAGTAAACCTTTTCTTGGTTGATATGATTATTTAACAATCTTTTTATAACCTTTTATTCATAAACACAATGTTTCATGCTTTATGCAATCAGTATGAATGATTTGATAACTTTTCTTCACAGATGTTTCGTGGATTTCTACGAGTTAAATTAATGTTACATATTGATACATACAATAAAAGCAAACATGATGTTTAAAAAACCATACTTTATCACAATACATTTACTAGAAGCATCTTGTTTTTTATTCGACATTTGACAAAATTTTTGTCTTTTATTTAATGACAGTGTTCTATCTGCAAGGATTATGAGCGTTTTCTCAGCTATCTATAATTATATTTATACAGATAAAAACCCACAGATTATATTTTAGATATCATGTCCTGTGTTTATAAGGGACCGTTCACTTATTTGGGTAATTTCAGGGTCAACTAAACAGCCTATTCGCTCTTGATTGGTAATAGTCTTACTTTTCAAAGACATCTGTGGCCGGAGAAAAAGCCGATTTTTCGTTCAGAATTTGAGCGGAAAGAAACGGTCCCTCTCTATAGGCACTATTTGACGTTTTTTTCAGTAACAGCAGCCCAATAAATTTTAAATTTATCATATTTCAATGTCATCATGTCAAACACGTAAAAAGTGTGCACAAAGACGACGTCCCTACAACAATCAATTAATCATTACTCGTATTTTGATTCGTAGATTTTGTAGATTTTTTTCTCGTATGTGCACAACTTTTCATTTTCATGCCGCGTTCAATTAGTCTTTTTACACAGGCAATACAAAATCTTTAATACGATAAAATAGTGTTATTTTAGAAATAGAAAGTTAAAAAACAAAAATTTAAATAGTTATAACATTTACAATTAACCATTAGATACTACAGTTTAATTTTATATTCAAAATTTATTTTGATCTACAACATACTGAAAAAAAACATCAAATAGTGTGTATAGAGAGGGACCGTCCCTTTCCGCTCAAATTCTGAACGAAAAATCGGTTTTTTCTCCGGCCACAGTTGTCCTTGAAAAGTAAGACTAATACTAATGAATAGCTGATAGGCTGTTTAGTTTACCCTGAAATTACTCAAACAACTGAACGGTCCCTTTAAGGGATGGTAGATTGACCCACATGACAAGAATTTATCAAAGACTTTGCTAATTATAAAAACGAGGCGTTGGAAATTTATCCGACTATTTTGTACGCCTGTACAGCTGTATTTTGACGTCATTGGTTATTTTGGTTGTTTGAGAGTCTAACGATCAACATTAAAGCCTTAGATATTAAAATTAAGATATTAATATGTATTATAAAATTTGTTTAATCATTTGTTGGATATGCGGATCGTCTGGTGAATTATGGCTGAATTTGTGAAAAAGTTACGCATCTCTTTTGTATTAAAAATAGCCAATAATTGTAAGTGAAAATTTTCAGATGTCGTCAAATATTTTTTCTGAGGTACTATGGAATGGAATTTTAGGTGATGAAGAAATTTCCAATATTATAAACGGTAAATAAATATTGTGTAAATGTCGTCTTCTGTTTAATCTTAGTCAAAGAAATAATATCGAATAACTTTATTTATTAATCTTACTCTCCAATTAATTTATGGGAATTTTGTTTGAAAAATATCCACCATTAAAGAAAAAAATATTACAGATAGTTTCGCTAAAAATGCGAATTAATGGACGACCTTTTACTTAGAAGTCTTTTAAAGGTTTTAAAAGTTTGAGGCATGAATTATCGGAGGATTTTAAAAAGGTGGATTAAAGTATACAAAGTTTATGTATACAAATTCAATGAATAATTCTAATAAATTCAGGTTCGTCGGTGCCACTGCCTAGCAAAGTAACATGTATGATACCCAACTGCCAAGCCAACAAAGAATAGGAGAGTCTGCGTTAACATTACCAAAAAAAAGTTTGGATGAAGGCTCTTTAATTGGATCATATGAATTCCTCCTGCTGAAAGATCCCAGAGTATGAAAAAACCCTATTACACTATTAAATAAATATTATGACGTTATATTTTTTAATAATTCATTTAAATCAGGTAGAGAGCGAATTCAATCTTGAATGGAAAAGTAATAAGATAATTAATTACTGTTAAAATGTACAAGGTTACTAGCTTAAAAGATATGAGACATTAATTTTCTTCTTATAAACACTTCATATACTTCAAACCAAAAGTAAATGTTCTAAGGGACTGACAGATGTAATTTCAAGTTGGCCATTAAAGGTCCTATCAACAACGGTACCATTTAAACATTTATCTGTGTAACAATGAGTAAGATATCGGGTTATTTCATCTTAAAAGTGATGAATTCTGTAAATTATGTTCATTGTTTTTCCACTAGTCACTGTTATGGACTGTATGGACAATATAAATATTTCAAGATAGAAAAACTTAGGTGGATTTCCCTTGTTTTTTAAAATAATTATTTAATACATTACAAAAGACGACATTATGAAACGTCAACAGGGTAAATATATACCTTTCTGGAGAAGACAACATTAGTTACTATCTTTTGGTACCCAAAAAAATGCGTCAAATTTGCGTAGATTTTCTGATGCGCTATCTTTAATCAGCAAAGTCTTTGGAATAACCTATTACAAGAAATAAACAATTTTTTTGTCGACTGGTACATTAATTTCCGCCTTTTGCCGATTACTTTGTGTTCCATGAAATTATGGTTGTGTTGTTTTCCTTAATATTTTGACTATCAACGCAGGACAGCCAACGTATAATAAAGTTGGTACAGGAGCTCCTTACCATCTTCTCATACCCCGAGATACCAACTTCATTCAGTTTTTTAATTTTTTAATTTTCCTATTGTTCAGGTGAAACTATCAATATGGAGGCAGATCCTCTTAACTCTGAACCAAACAGACGCAAGAAGAAAAACTTTCCATGTAGCAAATGTAATTATGTTGCAACCTATGCTGGGAATCTGAAGAGACATACTGAAAATAAACATGAAGGCGTGAGATATCCCTGTGACCAGTGTGAATATGTTACCATTACAGCAGGTCATCTGAAGATGCATGTAGAAAGTAAACATGAGGGAGTGAGATATTTCTGTAAAGAGTGTGAATACGTTGCTACTACAATCGGTACTCTGAATAGACATATCAAAAATAAACATCAAGGAGTGAGATATCCCTGTGACCAGTGTGACTATGCAGCCACTACAACAGGAGATCTGAGGATACATGTAGAAAATATACACGAAGAAGTGAAATATCCTTGTGTTCAATGTGATTACGCCGGTTCTACAGCAGTTAATCTAAAAAGACATATTAAAAGTAAGCATAAAGGATTTCGATATCCCTGTAATCATTGTGAACACACTGCTTCTACAGCAGGAAATCTGAAGATACATGTTGAAATTAAACATGAAGGTGTGAGATATTCCTGTGAACATTGTGATCATTTTGCCAGTACAGCAGGCCATTTGAAGAGACATATTAGATATAAACATGAAGGAGTGAGATATCCTTGTAACCATTGTGATTACGCTGCTATCACCGCTAGTCATCTGAAGAGACACTTTAGAAATGTTCATGAAGGGGTCAAACAAGAGCCTTTTAGTGAATAATTTAATTGTTTCCCGTTTTTTCTTGAGATATTTTTACAATGATTTTAATTATTACAATTTCTTCATACGCTTTAGATACAACTCTTTACGTTGTATACTCTCTAAAGGACTGTACGTGAAATTTTAAGGGACCCTTATCACAACGAAACGTATGAAAACAAAATCAATCAAATCAAAACATATTGTCACAGAACATATCCAGCGACAAAACATATCAAGATACAAAAACATATTCACGACAAAATATATCAAGCACAAAACATATCAAATACAAAACATATCAAATACAAAACATATCAAATCCAAAACATATCAAATACAAAACATATCAAATACAAAGCATATCAAATACAAAACATATCAAATACAAAACATATCAAGTACAAAACATATCAAATACAAGACATAACAAAAATAGGTTTGTTCCTATCTATTTTAAAGGGAACATAAGTTGCTCACGCGTCTTCACGATTACAGGCTGGATGGAACTTTGGTTTGCGATTTTTTTATTGAAATTCCCGGATTTTGTTATTCACATATTAGAAAATTTACAGGAAGTCTCATAATTTTCTCAACTCGAATACAGCTTAAATTTGGTTTTGATATGTTTTGATTATATATATTTTGTATTTTGATATGTTTTTCTTTGATATGGTTAGTAGTGGGATATGTTCTGTTTTGATATGCTTTGATTTGATATGTTTTGTTTTGATATGTTTCGTGATGATATGTTTCGTGATGATATGTTTTGTATGTGCTCCTAGAAAAATCTTTAATATGTTTTTACTTTCGAATATATCTGATACAGTTTAGTTCGAATATATCTGATACAGTTTAGTTCGAATATATCTGATACAGTTTAGTTCGAATATATCTGATACAATTTAGTTCGAATATATCTGATACAGTTTAGTTCGAATATTTTGTTAAATTTTTTCAGATAAAATGGCAGAGAATATAAAAAAAGAATTTGCTATGGAAAAAGTCAAGATAAAAGAAGAAGAAGTTTTTATCAAGGAAGAAATATGTTCCTCTTATAGTTCAGAGGAAACATGTGCTAGGTATGTGGAGGAAGATGATGTGAAGATGGAAAATACAGAAAATAAAGGTAAAGATTATATCTGATAAAATTTAAAAAAAATTTATCCTGTAAATTTATTTATTTAATTATAACTTAGTGCCTCATGTGTCCTCTGTGACATAAGAAAAAACGAGTAACCCGAATTGATATCTTATACAGATTTAGTATTTATTGGTTTTGAAAATTAAAATCTTTAAAATATTTAAAATTCAGAGTAATTGTATGGCATCAGCAGGAGTAATCTATCTCTTTCGATGTAATAAAACAAGACATTCGTATATATGTTCCCTCTGGCCGGCCAAACGGCTGGACCGAAAGGGCTGATTTTTTTTTTGGACACTCATTGGTAGCCTGGGAGTGACAAAGGCTAAAAAAATCGAATTTTTTTTCTTCAGTTTTTATTTTTTTTCAACATTTTTTATTTTTCTTCAGTTTTATTTTTTATTTTTTTTTCTACGGGCAACGCCGGACACTTCAGCTAGTTCTGTAATATAATTACTAGTAAGAATATTCAAAAAATTTATTGTTTACTTTTTCAGGTGATATTGTAAATTGCGATGAAGACCCCTTTCACACTAAACCAAATATGCTAAAGAAAAGAAAGGAACGAATATATACTTGTGTGGAATGTGATTATGAGTCAACTCAAAATCAAAACCTAAAGAGGCATATTGAGAGTAAACATGCAGGAGTCAGGTTTCCCTGTGATCAGTGTGAATACGCTGCAACTACTACAGGTAGTCTTAACAACCACATTAGATATAAACATGAAGGTGTCAGATATCCTTGTGATCAGTGTGAATTCTCTGCTACTCAAGCAAGTCATCTAAAGAAACATACTGAAATTAAACATGAAGGAGTGAGATATCCATGCAATCATTGTGACTACTTTGCTACTACAGCAGGTCATCTAAAAACACATATTGAAAATAAGCACATTGGAGTGAGATATCCTTGCAATCAATGTGATTATATCGCCACTACAGCAGTCACTCTAAAGAGACATATTAGTTATATACATGATGAAATAAAATATCCTTGTGGCCAGTGTAAATATGCCGCTACTACAGCTTGTCATCTGAAACAGCACGTTGAAGCTATACATGAAGGGGTAAGATATCCCTGTGACCAATGTGATTATGCTGCAACTTGCACAAGTCATCTGAAACGACATAAAAAGCGTAAACATAATAGATAATGATTATATAACAGGATTTGCTCTGTACTTAAGATTTTAAAGGGAGTGTTCGCAAAAAATGAAAGGAGGTATAGGCTTTCATTTTAAGTGTTGCTTTTTATTGTTAATGATTACCTTTTTGTCCCCACCCCCTTGTTGTATACGCCTGTGATTAAAGTGCAGCATACACTGTTTATATTTACACTTTATTGATTAGCATTCTGCATGCAGAAGAGATGGGCGAGTTCGGCTTTTTTTCATTTTGTTGGTTCATCGTTTGTAAACGTCGTATTTCGTTTTTTTCAATCGTTTAGAAAATTGTTTTTGTTCTCGCTCGAAATTATCGTTCATTTTTCATCTATTCGTTTTCTCACAGAATGTTCAGTAAAATCGTTCGTTTAGTGAAATTTCATCCAATAATTTTTCTTTCAGTAAAACAACGATCTGATTTTCAAAAAATTGTTAGAAAAACTGTTCATTCAGTAAAAAAAAACTTTTCCTTTTTTAAAAGATTTTTTTTACCAAACTCGTTTTTTCAAAACCTTTTGGAAAATTCTTCTGTTCAGTAAAAACTTAGTTTTTTTCGAATCTTTTGAACAATTCGTTCATTCAATATAAAGTCTATTGGTTTTTCAAGTTTGTTAGAACGAACAATAAAGAATTAGTTCATAAAATACTTAAGATATCGTTTTTTCATTTCTATGACCATTGACCAATCCAAGTCGTTCGTCCATCGTTCGTTTTTTCATAACACCACCACAATAACGATGCCAATTTCTACTCTGCAGTTTGTGGAAAGTTAATTTTAGATATTTTAGAATTATTGAATTTGATCTTTTCTCATCATTCATAATTTCTTATTTATTCAGTTTTAAAGAAAAACCTGTCTTGTATTTTAGAAAGAATGGCAGAGAAAATGAAAGAAGAAAAAGTATTTATCAAGGAAGAAATATCTACTGAAGATACATCTACTGTATATTTGAAAGCAGATGATGTTAAAGTGGAAATTACAGAAATACAAGGTAGTGTTTTAAAATTTATGATTTTCTATAAATTAAAGACATAAGTGGTATAAAATTCTATTAATCTAGAAAGAATGGCAGAGAATATGGAAGAAGAGAAAGTATTTATCAAGGAAGAAATATCTACTGAAGATACATCTACTGTATATTTGAAGGAAGATGATGTTAAAGTGGAAATTACAGAAATACAAGGTAAGCTGCTTGTAAACTATTGTTTAGCTAATATCATTGTCTATCTCTTTAATTTATTTTTTAAGAAAACCTTTGTTGTTTATGCAAGATATATATTTTCCTCTGCAAATATGTACCTAAAAAGTAGGAAAATGTTAAAAATTTTGTGTTTTTTTCATGGATTATAACCGTGTAGAGGAAATTTAATGCTTTATAAGAATAAAAGAGTAAGTACTTATATCCAAAGTAAGAAATAGATTTATCCTTTCATTGTAAAGTATAATCTTTTCACAGTCGCTCGACACCAAAATATTCTTGATATTTGTTAGATTTGTTTTCTCTTCTTCTCAAAATCCTTAAAATATTCTCCGACAGGCGTTAGGTTATTTTTATTCTATTATTTCTATTTAATTTTTCAGATGGAATTCTGAACATCGAAGAAGATCCGCTTTTTACTCGACCTAATTGGTTCAGGAAGGGGAAACTTGAAGGAGTTGGGTACCCTTGTGGTAAATGTGATTATGTAGCAACAGAAGCTTCAAATCTCAAGAGACATATTAGATATAAACATGATGGTGTGAGATATCCCTGTGACCAGTGTGAATACGAGGGTACTACAACAGGAGGTTTAAAGACACATATTGAAAGTAAACACGAAGGAGTTAGATATCCCTGTAATAAATGTGATTATGTGGCAACACATGCTGGAAGTCTGAAGAGACATGTTGAAAATATACATGAAGGGGTCAGATACCCTTGTAGGCAATGCGATTATTCTGCCACTACTTTAAATAACCTGAGGAAGCATGTTGAAAAAATACATGAAGGAGTAAGATATCCATGTTCCCAATGTGAACATGAAGCTTCTACAACAAGTGATTTAAAGAAACACGTTGAAAATAAACATGAAGGGGTTAGATATCCATGTGATCTCTGTGAATATGCTGCCACTACAGCGAATAGTTTAAGGCTACATGGCAAAAGAAAACATGAAGAAGTAAAATATCCTTGTGACAAGTGTGTTTACGCTGCCTCTTCTACATGGCATCTGAAACGACATAAACAGAGTAAACATTACCTGTGACTTAGAGATGGACATCGTTTTTGTGAACAACTGAAATTTTTGAGAAGAGTGAAATTTTTTTTTGAATGATTATATTATTTAGAAAAAACGACGCGGACGAATGTTTTCAAATCGTTCAAATGATCATGAAAAAAAAATAAATAAATAAAATGTTTTGAGAAAGAAAACAATCAATTTTTACTAAACAAACGATTTTTAGGACAAACTTTCGAAAAACCTATCATAACTTTTTAATAAGAGAACGAACTATTTTACTGAATGACTTGTTTTACTGAACGATCGTTTATTGAGAACATAAATGAAATAGATGAAAATTGAACTATAATTTTGAGAACGAACGAAATCAATTTTTTTGAAGGATTTAAAAAAATAGCGAACGAAATGGCTCGTTCACATATGATGAACGAACGAAATGAAAAAATTCTGAACGCGCCCATTTGTACCTGTGACAAGTGTGAATACTTTAGACTTTTTTACTCTTACGAGAAGTCTAAAACTTTTATAAAACTGTAAGCATAACAAGCATTTATAAGGAATTTCTCTTCGTTGATTTGTTAATTGATAATACTTCTTAATCATTGAATAATCATAATTTTTCGTTGTAAATTCTTCTTCCACACTAATGATAATTATAATTATCAATTAACAATGTTCAGAGGATTATTTTTCAGCTATTCATCAATGTTTACTTTACGTTTTAGTTATTCACAGATATTTTCATTTTGTAAATTTCCGTTTACAACATGTCCCTCATCTCGAAACAACTGATTTAAAACTCAGAATTTCTAAAATCTATATTTTTGCAATCTCACTGTTCACACCTTTCTTATCTCTAGCTACGACTTTTGGTCTAGCAGAGTTCATAATTTGAAAAATTAAATGTTTACTAAACATCGAGATATATTGATGTAAGGATTAGAAAATTAGAGTTTGAGACAAGATGTTAGTTTATTGAATGCATTTAAAGCACTTGAAAGAAAAGTGATCAAAGTAGTTTTTATTTGTCACAACTTTCTGTATTTCTTCTTCTATCGAAATTCAGTAGTGCATAATTGAACTAATGATCACTTGCGAAAAAAAAAGTTTAAATTTCTCACACAGAGGAAACCTGATATCGTCATAAATTAAACAGATTGTGAAGTGTAAACAACTTGTATAGTGAGCTTATATCAGTGTGTACTTGTTTTCAATCATAGTTTTATCTTTAGTTCTGTTTAGTTAAAACATGCTTCTTTCAGAGAAAATGGCAAAAAATTTGGAAGAGTAATATCTACTGTAGAGGATACATGTACCGTATATGTAAAAGAAGAAATATCTACTGGAGAGGACACATGTACTGTATATGTAAAGGAAGAAATGTCTACTGTAGAGTATACATGTACCGTATATGTAAAGGAAGAAATGTCTATTATAGAGGATACATGTACCGTATATGTAAAGGAAGAAATGTCTACTGTAGAGGATACATGCACCGTATGTGTATGTAAAGGAAGAAATGTCTATTATAGAGGATACTTGTACCGTATATGTAAAGGAAGAAATGTCTACTGTAGAGTATACATGTACCAATATGTAAAGGAAGAAATGTTTACTGTAGAGTATACATGTACCAATATGTAAAGGAAGAAATGTCTACTGTAGAGGATACATGTACCTATATGTAAAGGAAGAAATGTCTACTGTAGAGTATACATGCACCGTATGTGTATGTAAAGGAAGAAATGTCTATTATAGAGGATACTTGTACCGTATGTAAAGGAAGAAATGTCTACTGTAGAGTATACATGTACCAATATGTAAAGGAAGAAATGTCTACTGCAGAGTATACGTGTACCGTTTATGTAAAGGAACAAATGTCTACTGTAGCATATACATGTACCGTATATGTAAAGGAAGAAATGTCTACTGTAGAGTATACATGTACCGTATATGTAAAGGAAGAAATGTCTACTGTAGAGTATACATTTACCGTACGTAAAGGAAGAAATGTCTACTGTAGAGTATGCATGTACTGCAGAACAAATGTTTTAAATCAAACAGATAGGATGTCAAAAATGGGCGCGAATTAAAAAGATGCTAAAAATGCCCGTTTTGCCTAGAACCTGTATCTTTTCACAAACCTTAAAGGGACTGTAAAGGAAAAATGAAAGTTATATCTGATGTTCCTGTTTCGAGAAACTGATCTACAACTTTGTCAAATTTATACGAAAATTAATATATATACAATTTTGTATAAAAGCAGTGGGTTTAAATAGATCAACTTCAGCAAATACGTAACCAATCTGAAAACTATGATATCCTTGAGAAAGCTAATTGTAACTTAGGTTTACTCCATTTCTAATTTTATATTTGTTATTCCTATTTTTAATAGATTTAATTCATAATATTATTTATACGTCCGTGTTACTTGACCAGAAGTTCCACCAATGCCAGTGAAGTAAAGTGGTCACGTGATACAGGCGGAGAAACGTGACCAGTATACTGCTCTGCCATTGGTGACAGTTCTGGTCACGTGATTTAAGTTTAAGATTTTATAAATTTTACACATATGAATTTTCGTATAATTTTAACACGGTTTTATATCAATTTCTCCAGACTGGAACATCAGATAAAACTTTCATGGGTTGCGATCAAGAGCTAAAGTGATTAGCTTTCAGCTTATACCCCCTTTCATTTTTCCTTTACATTCCCTTTAAAGCTTATTTAAAGAAATTTTTATCTCTAAAAGTTGTTAGTTCATCGTCGAAAAATACTAACAATCCTCCACCAGTTTTTATTAAATATAATGTAAACAATAAATATGTAACTTTCCTTTTCTTTTCCTTTGATTTCTGTTTTTATATTTTTTTTAGAATTGGGGGGAAATATTCCCACAACCTATACTTTTGGAGGTTTTAACATATTTTCTCCTGAAACACTTAATTTTGTATGGTTTTGTTATATTTTATAGATAAATAATTACTTACTTACTTAAAAAAACTATCCATCTAAATCAACATTCGTATATGCATTTTGTCTGTATCTTCAACAATTATGTATTCAATGTCTGTTATACTTCATACACTTACCATTATACCCAGTGGTGGATCCACCACTTTGAAAAGGGTGGTCAACTCCCAATAAAACTGTGATGGTGNGGCACCGAGCAAAACTTGTGAGCAATGAGGGGGTGCAATTTTTTTAAGGAATTAGCACTGAGAGTGAGTATTTTATGTGCTCAAAATAGAAAATTTCTCTTAAAATAAATAAAAATATTGCAACCTTAGTTAGAAATGTACTTGATCAGAAAAAGTGTTCAAGGATACTCTTGTCCATCGGACATTCCAATAGAGACTGCTTTTTTGTCTTCCGGCAGCCATGAGTACGGTCTTTCATGCCACAGCATTTGAGTCTTCCTGCAGTTATTAGGTTTTTAAAAAATAAATTTAGTGTATTGAAATTTTCAAAAATCCAGCAAGTAACGACGTCATGCAAAAGATATATATAAAGAATTGAAATAATGACGATTCATTTTAGAATGTAAACTGCAAAACTTATTTTCCCCAAAAATAAATTCAATCTTTGCTCTAAAATGGTTTTTTGAAACATTTGCAACATAAACATACTCTTAAAGTTCAAAGCGGTGCCATAACCGAAAATTTATACTTTTTAACGAGAAAATTAAAAAAAAGATTTTTTTGAGAAAGTCTGTAACGCACAGGTAGTAACAGTTAATATTTTTATTTTTTTCATCTTTTCTAATTTTTTAGACTACCCCAAACAATTTGTCTTTGTGCCCACAATGCGCATAATGATGTCAAATTTTCCTTGTAAAGTGTAAAGCAGTTTATAAACTGAACACATAATTCATTGATTTTAATAAACTTCTAAAAATGCAATTTCAATCACCTAAATTTATTATTTAAAAACATAATAACTGCCGGAAGACTCAAATGCTGCTGTGGCATGGAAGACCGTACGGTTGTGGCTCATGGCTGCCGGAAGACACAAAAAATAATATGTGGCATGGAAGGGGAAAGTGTTGTGGCTTATGGCCGCCTGCCTTTCCCCGCTCATGTAACGCAGCAATTGTGCAGAGTAAACAGACCCATTTACTTCATAAATGATTTAATAAGTTACAAGTAAACCTATTAATTTTCTATTTAACAACATCAAATTCACTCAATTATTGTTTTAATGTCGTCTTCATATTTCATATTTTTCTTGTTCTTTCTTGAAGCTGAAACGCTTATTTATGCTTGCATCAAATATTAATATTTTATACATATTATATCAGATCTGAATTTCTTAGAAGATTCCCTTTTGTATCTGTTCCTTCCGCATGGTATAATTTTCCTGTTGAAATTAAGCAGTCAGAATCTAAAAATATTTTTAAATCTGCCTCTAAAGCCTATCTTATTGATAAATTACAGGGGTTCACTTGTGAAAGGCTATTGTGTCCTTGTGTTTAAACACTAGATAAGTAGATTTTAAAATTCCAACCTTTCATGTATGTATCTTCACCTAAACTTAAAAACTTGAATGTTATGTATATTCTGATATACATTATCTCTTTGCAGTGTTAAAAATGGGATATGACTTCCTTCAAACATTTCAATCATTTTAATTATTCTTAATTAAATATTTGTAATGTTTGTTACTTTGTTACTGTATTGGTTTGATAGAGCTGAGCAATATATTGTTTATTATCATGTTTATTTATATTTTCTGCCACCCCACCTACTCGTCCTTTCGTCCAGGTTGCCCCCCCCCCTTGTCACTAAGCTATAGGGAAAATTATGAAAACCTGGCCCATTTATTTTCCCTCACGAGGATTATACTTTTCTATGTGATATTTATATTGTATAAATTTTAATCTTGGTGCAATAAATATTTGATTTGAATTGATTTGAAATATTTAAATAACTGCTTGAAATAAGATTTATAAACTTTGAATAAAGAATAAAAGAAAGGAATCACGACCCAAAAAATATTTAGTATGAGAAATATTTTATTTTCGCTCTTAAAGATTTTTTAATCATCTTTTTTGTTTATTTTCAAAAATATCTGGAGAAAGTTGGTAAAAACTAATTCAAATTTTGAAATTTTGGTTTCCTTTGTACTCTTATATTGTAGGGTTATCCATGCACACAGGATGGTTCTTTAATTATAACGTAGAACTCTAGAAATATAACAATCTTAAGGCTGTACGGCGGCACATATATTAGTTCTTAAATGATGTAAACTTGATGATTTGGAAATTAAAGGAACAAGGTTCAGAAAAACAAAGAATTTCGTAATTTCCGTAGAGTTGTTTCTGATGTCTCACCCTTTATGGAAATCCTTTTTATGATCCGTCATCTTTGTAAGAGGTAAATTTCATTAAGGATATATGTGTGTCGGGTTTTATTATGTCTCTTTAAAGGGAGTGTTAGCGAAGGTAACCGCCAAAAAGTCCTTGGAAAAAAAGTTTCCGGAAAAAAAGTCCTAAAATTTCACACTAAAAAAGTCCTATGGAAAAAATTCCTTTTATTAAAAAGTCTCTGGAAATAAAGTCCTACCAATTCGAGAACAAAATTCCTTTTTTTCTAGGTTTTTCTTTTCCTCGGATTTATTTTCTTCAGGACTTTTTTTCCTGAGATCTTATTTCCTGAGACTTTATTGGCAGCACCCATACTATTTTAGGGGAAAAAATCCCAGGAATCCAAAACACAGGACTTTATTTCCAGTGACATTTTTTCCAAGGACTTGAGAAAATTCGGACTTTTTCCAAGTTTTTATTTCCAGGTTTTTTTCCAGAAACTTTTTTTCCCGGGACTTTCTTACATAGATTCGTTAGCGAATGAAAGGGGGTGTAGGCTAATATTAAATTGAATTCGATATTTATCGCTACTAATTTAACTTTTATCTGTTGCGTTTATAAGGAGAATATGGTTAAGAATGTCTTATACCACTTAATATTTGTAGCTGGTATTAAGCCTGGACAATAAAAGTGTTTTCAAATCTGGAACCACTTTATTGACCTGGCTGACCACTTTATTGACCTCGCTTACCACCTTACCACCTCCTGTCTAACCACCCTATTGTACCAGCTGATTACCTTTTTGTCCCATTCTGACCATTTTATCGTCCTGGCTGATCAGCTTTTTGAACCAGCTGACCACTTTATCGTCCTGGCTGATTAGTTTTTTCACCCAGCTGAACACTTTATCGTTCTGGCTGATTAGCTTTTTGATCCAGCTGACCATTTTATCGTCC